GAATGAGTTGCTCTGTGGGTGCTGGGAACTGAACTTGAGACCTCTGGAAGAGCAGCAGCAAGTGCTCCTAATTGCTGAGCCATCTCTCCAGCCACAGATCCTGTCTTTCTAATGACAAATTTCATTTAGTGAAGGCTCACTGCGGGCCAGGCATCCTGCACATACGGTCTTTTTAAAACTCTACAATAACCTCAAGAGGTAGACACAGTTAGCAACCTGCTGCACACCTCCACAGATTAGAGAACTCAAGGTTGCCAGCTAGTCCTGAACTGTACTTGTCTGACTCAGAGCCCTTAAACACTATCCTGTCCCACCTCTCTTGACTGAACAGCCTGGGATGGGGGAGGGGCTGTCCACAGACTCTTGGGTGAGTGCTGAGGTCACCTGGGCTGGGGAGTGGGGACAAAGCTCAGAAGATTCCGGGAAAGGGGGGTCACCTCCCCGACCTCACCCTACCCTTTCCCCGCTCCTGTTGGCCCCCAGAGGTTGTCTGCTGGGGACCCAAAGTCAGTAGACTGCCCTGCCTGCCCCCAGTCCTACCTAGCCTGGACTGTGGCTGAGAACAAAGGTTGAAGAAGAGGAGGGGACAGTTGGAGCTGGCCTGAGGACTCAAGGGTGCTGCACATCTGGATAGATGTGTGCTGGGAACCTGAGCTGCAGACTCCTTGTAGGAAATCTTACCTTCACCTCCTCTGAGGGACCAGGGAGGGGAGGCCTTGGATGGGTCTGAAGAGCTGTTCCCTCCTCTGTGGAGAGAGACAGAGAAGACAAGATGGGGGCAGAAAGCTCCTAGCTGGGAGGCAGCCTGGACACTGGGGCCAGGCAGGGAAGTGCCACACTCTGGGTGGGAGGAGATAGGGCCAGAGCCAAGGAAGCCAGATGGAAGGACAAGATGACATAGAAAGACCATGAGTCCAGTGTACCCAGGAATGGGGGACATCTCCCTGTTCCCACCTTCCCTGAGAGAGGGCCTAAGGCTGAAGCAGACAGAAGGGGTGCGACCATGATAGGGGGTCAGCCTCTGAAGGAGCTGATAGAGGCTTCCGTCTAGTCTGTTCACATGGAGCTGAGGGGTGAGTGGGGGTGCACTCAGACACAGCTCCCAGGCCCCCCACTGCTCTGGATGGATGAAGAATGCACTTCGAACCCTAGCTTTTCGTGGCCCCCTCAGCTACTGCTCTCCAGTGAGATCCTCTGCTTGCCTTTGCAGAGGACGGCAGGGAAAGGGCTCAAAGGCCACGGCAGGCAGAGGAGGGGATTGCCTCCCAGAAGACCAGGAAAGATGTCTGCTTCCAAAGGGGTAACTGGAGGAGAAATTTCTAGGCCTGCTCCCAACTTTAGCTGGGCATGGATACTCCCTCAGCAAACACTTAATGAGCCCAATTACACGCTGGCATTTCCCCCACGTCTGCCAACAGCCATCCTTGTATCTCTCCCAGCTAGGTCTCAGACCCTGAGAAGGGGGCCTGGCGAGCCCGCCAACCTCAGCTGGTCCCTGCCCATCTGGCCTCTGGTTTCCTGGTCTCTAAGGAGAGAGGACTAGGTTGAACATGATCTCTTGGGACCTTTACAGGCAGAGCTACAGTGGTAACTCAGTGAGAGCAGCCGTGTAGAGGGGGCGACCAGGCCAGGCTGTGGGACCCCTATCTTAGCTGCATAAAAGGAGCTGCTGGGTGGGCGAGTGCCCACCACCTCAAGCCACAGTAGGAAGACACCCGCCAAACGCTCCACCATGCCCCAGGACACTCAGCAGGTTTTGCAGGCTCAGAGTAGAAGGGGCAAGTGAACTGGGCTAGGTCCCCCCACATACACCCCCAGAACTGTCATACACAGTCAAGCAATCATCTCAGTCTTGTGGCTACGGGCAAAGTGGGAGGAGGCCACCCTACCATGGACCCAGTCACACAAGGAAGTTTCTAGAAGAGGAGAAACCTCCTAATGCTCCTGTCCAAATGGAGCCAGAGCCCCTTCAGTGAGTTGGAGGAACTGCCATCAAGTTTTGTGGCCTCTCTGCCATCTCTGCCACCTCCCTACCGCCATCTCCCAGGGTGAGCAAAGAAAACAGCTCCTGAGCACATGCAATCAATGGTTCCTAGCCAAGTCGGCTGGGATCCAGGGAGCCGATGGAGGCTTCTGTCCAGCCTGTACTGTTCATATGGAGCTGAGGGATGGGATGGGGGAGCACGGGGGTACAGCTCCCAAGGTCCCCTCTCCATCAATCTGGACAGATAATAAACACATTTCAGAACCCTAAACGCGTTTCAGAACCCTTGGTATCAGTAGGGTTCTCAGCTACCATTCTCTTGTGAAGCCCTCTGCCTGCCCATGCAGAGCATGGGACGGAAAGGGACCAAAGGCCATGGCATGTAGGGTAGAGGGTCTTCTCGTGACTCAGACTCCACAGGAGCCAGAGGCCCCTACCTAGAGGACCGAGATGGGTGGTCAGCCCTGCCAGCTCCCCAGTTCCATACAGCAGGATGCTTGGAGTTGGGCCCAGGAAGCAGAGGCCAGGCCTGAGGTTCCACGGGACAAATGCCAGACAGCCATGCCTGTCTCCTATCTCAAGTAGTGACAACAGAAACCTGTTTCCTCCCTGGGGACTCGTGGTGCTCAGGACTGGGAGTGAGCTGGCCAAGAGTTTTGGAAAGTCAGGATTCCGTCCAGCTCCAAGGAAGGGTGAGAGGGCAGAGGAGGTGAGGGAGTGATATGTACGGTAGGACCACAGCCTCTCTCTCCCCAAGCCCTGCCCTGTCCTCACCTGAGCACTAAGACTCCTCTAAAAGACCCACAGTCCTCTCAGGGGTAAGGAGGTCCTCCTTACTATCTAGCTTGCATCTCTCCTTGCATGGTCCTCAATGGTAATTCAGAAGAACTACCTCTCATGTAGGGGAAGGGAGTGCTAGCCTCAGTACCTTTTCTCTTCCCTTTACTGGGGTGCAGGGGAGGAACCCTAACTTGTGGGAGTAAGTGCTCTATGCCCTGTAACCTCTCCCGGGCCCCTGGGCCTGTATCCTGGCAGAGTTTGCCCTGATCCTACCTCTTCTCCTAACCCTGCTTCTTTTTTTTTTGGTTTTTCGAGACAGGGTTTCTCTGTGGCTTTGGAGGCTGTCCTGGAACTCGCTTTGTAGACCAGGCTGGCCTCGAACTCACAGAGATCCACCTGCCTCTGCTTCCTGAGTGCTGGGATTAAAGGCGTGCACCACCAACGCCCGGCCCTAACCCTGCTTCTTAAAGTGCCAAGAAGAACAGCACACCAAAACCCACTCTCTGCCCACCACAGCCCCACAAGTCAACATCCTCAGAGTCAGAGGGTCCTGGGAGTCAGGACGAGGGGGGGCCTGGAGGATCCAGGGATGGCTTTAGGGGAGGAATGTGGGTGGATCAAACTAGGAGGACAGCCTCTTTTTGTGTGTGTGTGGTTTTTTGAGACAGGGTTTCTCTGTATTGTTTTGGAGGTTGTCCTGGGACTTGCTCTGTAGACCAGGCTGGCCTCGAAGTCACAGAGATCTGGCTGCCTCTGCCTCCCGAGTGCTGGGATTAAAGGCGTGTGCCACCACCGCCCAGCTGAGGACACCCTTTTTGTTGAGATGAGGCCCTGGGTTTGGTGGAGGGGACAGGACAAGACAGCGAGTGATGCTTGAGAAGGCCACAGATAGAAATTCCCCTTGCACCCCCAAAACACCCGGTATTGCCCCCTCTCCTCCATTTTAGAGCCCACCTGGGAGCTGATGGACTAGCTGGACTTTGGGATCCTATGAACTCTTGAGGAAAAGGAATGGGCCATTTGATAGAGCCCTTGTTCCCAAAGGCAAACCTCTAGCTGCCAAATGATCCCAACCTATCTGCCCTTCATGTCAAGCTATAGCTACAGCCATAATCACCCAGGCTGTCCCTTTTCCCAACCTCAGCTTCAGGCTTAGTTGAATATAGCTAGGTCACAAGGCGAGGCAGGGACCTCACAGCTGCCCCCAACCCCACTAAGCCACCCTGCTGAGCTTGCCAACCGCCCCCCCCACCTAGCCTCATCTGTTTGTGCAGGGAACCGGGAGTCTGGCGCCCCCGCCTACCTGAACAGGGCCAGGGACGCACCCCGCTGAGCTGCACCAGGGAGACTGTGATCTCAGTTGCAGCTGGCCAGTCCCTGTCCTGCTCCTTCTCCGAGCCCGCCCCTGCACGGCCTGTGCCTGCCCGAGTAGTTGCCAGGAACCGCCCTAGCCAAGATCTGGAGAAACCGGCAGAGAGGGGCTCGTTCTCCTTGCTGAAGAGCTGGGCCAGGGCAGCGGACCTGTCTTCCTCCTGGACCGTTTTTGGGAAGCACAGATGCTGCCGTTCAAGGCACACTCCTAGATGCCAGGAGATATCCACTCTGCCCAGATTGGCTGTGGCCCCGCTTCAGAGAGCAGGAAAGATCCGGGTCCAAAGTCACTCAGGAAGTGAGTACCTAAAACTTCAGACTGGCCTAGGACTGTCCAGAGATGAGGGGAAGGAGGTCAGACTGCTGGGGAGGCTATGGCTAGAGAGAGGATCTGACACAGGCCAACGGACAGATGCAGGGGCTGGTGTCATGACCTCCTGTTAATCCTGCCGCTATGCTTTGGGGAAGCGATCACCGGGTAAGAAGGCAAAAGCTATAGAAAGGGTCACAGGTGGCTTTTGCGTGCTGCCCACCCCTTCTTGACCCAAGGTGAATGAACCCTTAGTGAACAGACCACCTAAAGAGAAAGTGTCACAGAGTCTTGGGGATGCCTGGCCCACCGGACAGGGCACTGGATGGCCACCCAGGCTCCTAGCCGGTCTTGGCCTTCAAATCTACCCACTGACTCCAGCCCCAAGGGCTTTGCTATTCATTGGCCTGGAACATTCCTTTGACCCTCACTATCTAATTGTCACTGGCTCAGATGTCACCTCCCCTTCGCCCACACTTTCCCCAGATCTTTTCTGCTCTGTCTCGGCCATCTCCCGCATCTCCCAGGTGACTGTCCTTTTGACTGAACACTCACCTGTCTTCCCCACGGAGGCAGGACCTTTATTTCCCAGGAATCCAAGTCACCAACACAAAGCTTGATGAACACTTAGGAGATTCTCCATAAAGAGTCCTGAAGGGACAAGTTCGTATCCACTTTGAAGTCCATATACCAGGCGGATGGTACGGAACATGGATTACATCTTAATGAGAGAGTTGCCTGTTTTTTTTAAAGGAAACCCAGGAAAGGGATGGCAGCTACCATCCACCCTGTGTACACGACACCCCACGGGACACTCACCCTCCTTCCAGACCCAGTCACACTGCCTTCCCGAAGTCCACACCCCACGTCTGTCAGTGGCAAATACAGTTGCTCAGACTTGGAAGGGACCTTAGAGGTCACCCTGTCCCTTTTACACTATCCCTGACCAGTTACCCTCTGTCCTAAGCTTGAACATGCCCATGACAGAGACCCCAGGACCCCACAGAATGCCCCATCCCATTGCTGGCTAGCTCATCTCTGGGCTAGGTAGCCTTTTTTCAGTGACACCCATATCCTGGTCCTCCATCTGTTCCACACGACATAAAACACGGAGCCTTTCCCCCCAGTCAAGGCAACCCTGAAGCTTTGTGTCCTGCTGAGTATCTGACCCATTACCCCAGCTCCATCTCTCCCCAACTGACTTGGGCTTTCCCCCTTTTGAACACAACAATGAGCAAATCTCCTTCTGCATCAATCCCGTTCTCTACTAATGATACCATCCCTTAACTCTCCTGCAGTCTGGAGAGGCCTGTGAAATCCCCAGACCTGCTTCATGGGATGTAGCTGTGGGTGATTTCATCTCCATTTTTAACCCCCTAATGAGTGACTCCTCTTTTTTATTTTTGGGGTGCTTGGAATCAAACGCATAGCATCACACATGCCTGGAAAACACTATTACTGAGCTATGGCAAGTCCCCAAGCACTTTCTGGATAGATGAACAGCACACCAAATGTTTATGCTGTTTGCCCTCCCATCTGCCAGGCCTGTAGCATCACTCAGCAGGGCCACAGGTGCCAGCTCTGGGCCATCACAAAGACGTGGCTTGGCCTAGATACTCACTAATAAAACACATCCCTAAAAGCAACCCTGTCCATTGACAAAACATTGCCCTCTGTGGCTGGCCCTGTCTTCCAGACCCCACAGCTTTAGCAACCCATTGGCTCTGATGATCCGCAAAAGATCAGTAGGACTCTCATTCTGCAGCCATTGATGGAGGGACTCTGAGAGGTTAGCTTACCTGTCCCAGGCCACACAGCAAAACAGAAGTGGAGTTAGGGTCTGAACCCCATCTGGCTGGCTCTGCAGTCTAGGCTATTTCTTTTCTCTGTTCGAAACGGCTTCTAAGGGCCTATTCCAACATGCTGGGTGACTTTTGCCATGTAAAGGTGGGATGGGCCAGGTGGGAAGGTGGCATGTCTGAGAGCCCTGCACTCTGGAGGCTGAGGAAAAAGGATCATGAATCTGAGGCCAACCTAGGCTACATAGACAGTTTTAGTCTTGCCTGGACTACATTAAAAACAAAACCCAATTAACTGGGAGGGGTAAAGAAGGAAGAAAAAGAAACTCTTTGTAATTATGGTACCAGCTAAGCTAGCTTTCTCCTGTCCATCTTCCACTCACCCAGGGAGGGATCCAGTCCGCCTAGCTCTTGTTCTCCTCCAGCCAGAAAAAAAATGACCCATGGTCTAAATAAAGACATCAAGTCTCCAGCTTGGCTGTCCTGGGACTCACCAGTGCCGGCTTCACCCATCTCCTCTTCCTCTCTCTACATCTGTCATGAATCCCCAGGCATTGGTCAGCACACACATTCGCAGAATGAACAAAATGACTCACAGTGAGTTTTAGAAAAACAGACCAGGCACCTTGCTCTGGCTGTGTGAGCTTGGGCAAGTCACTTTCCCTCTCTGAGCTTATAAAAGAAGGCATAGTGTTAGGTATTGTGAGATCATGTTTGCCGGGCCTTGGTGGCGCATGCCTTTAATCCCAGCACTCGGGAGGCAGAGGCAGGCGGATCTCTGTGAGTTCAGAGGCCATCCTGGTCTACAGAGAAAGTTCCAGGACAGCCTCCAAAACAATACAGGAAACCCTGTCTCGAAAAACCAAAACAAAAAACAAACAAACAAACAAAAGGTCATATTGCAGAGTCCCAGACAAAACAGATGCCCAGTTAACAGCATGGGCACCACCAATTAGGCATGCCTGGTGCCCGCCTTGGAGATGGGAATACTATCATCCAACTTGGAAGTAGTTGGAGAACAGGGGCACTGGAAAGCCTAGTTATAAGGCTGTCCCCCTTGCTCCTCACCAGGGACCTTCCCTGAGAGTCGAATAAATTTAATTTTCTGTTTTCCTTCCTTTTGAGTCAGGGTCTCATGCAGTCAGGCTGGCAGAAAATGACCTTGAACTTCTGGTCCTCCTGCCTCTACTTCCCGGGTGCTGGGGTTACAGGCCTGTGCCCAGTTTCATTCCTGCTGAAGATTAAACTCTGGGCTTTGTGTTCGTATGCTTGGCAGGCATTCTACCAACTCAACTACATCTCTAGCCTCTTGATAAGTGCAAGCTTGGCTATAAATACACGCAACTGGTATAGTAATTTCCTTTTGTAAAAGCAGTAAGAACTCGGGTGGGAGCATGGTCCAGGCCATGGGGTTCAGGCTAAGAGCCTCATCCCTCCCCAGCCGCTCCTCCATCTTGTCCATTGTCCGCATGGGGTCAGGCTGCCCTGTCTTAGTTCTGGGTCCATGGGTTCCAGAAGGAAAGCTGGAGGGAACCCTAGTCTTGGGTCTGCATCCTCCCCTATCCATCCTGGGTTCTTTATGCTCCTACTGGTGGGACAGAACCATCAGCCCCTCCCCCCACCTCCTCTTAAAATAGCTCTGAGCCACCATCTGGCCAGGGCAGCTCCCCACCAGCCACAAATCCCCCTGAAATCAAATCCCCATCCTGCCCCAAGCAGGATGGCACCACCTCCTGCCACCACCGGGCTAAGCACTGGCCAGGCTCCCCCGATGGAAACCCGGACAGTTGTCCTTGACAGTGACCGAGACAATCATAAATCCCCAAATAATGAGACAGGCGATGGGAACACAGAGTCAGACAGGGTGCTAATTGGGTGGCTTCTGAGCAGGGATGCCTTGGGGACAACAGCTGGCCTCAGTTTCCCAGCCAGGACATTGGGATGGGGCAGCAGAATGGCCTCTGAGTCCCTGATTGTGTTGTTTCTAGCCTCTCCCATCACCCTCCCAGTCAGGTGAGCCAGGAGCACCAATGTGGAACATTCTATAGGCCAGCATAGAAGAGAAACCCCGCCCCCACCCCACCCCATCCAGGTCTCAAATCGGGAAGCCTGACTCATTTCCAGCAGTATCTGGTAATTGTGTCTTAGAGCTAAAGAACAAACAGATCCCTCCCAGCATGCAGAGGGGCAAGGAGGCAGATTGCCCAGTACAGACACCGAGCTTGCTCCTCCTGTGAGGTCCCTAATGGATTCTTGGATGAACCCAGGGAGGCCCTTGGTGTGCAGCAAGCAGGCAGAGATTATCACATTATATGTTCAAAGGCTTTGCCACGAAGGAGCACAGCAGCTGAAACCCTGACTCCCCAACTCTACCACCCTCTTCTCCTGGGCCTTGGGCACAGGAGCTGAATATACACTGGTCAGGGATAGAGGCAGGGGGATGGTTAGGAAGACCTCTCTAGGACTAAGCCCTTTGGCATTGATGAGATGGGGGAGGGAGGACATGTGGAGAGGGGTGTGTCTCTGGGTGTAATTTGAGGAGTTCACGTGAGGTTATGTGTGACTGCATCAGGCCAATACATTTGTGTATTACAACTTAGTCACTTATTAGCCATGAGGTTGGGAACATGTCCCTTCTCAGCAATTCGGATAACAACACCAAGCATCCTGCAAACCGTAAAGTCCCGTCCATGAGGAGGATGAAATCATTAGTTACAGCAGATGCAACTAGGATTAGACCTCAGAAAGAACTTCCTCACAGCTGTGCTTTAGAACCAATGGTTCAAAAGTAGTAGGAAGGACAAGCAGGCCTAGGTAGAATGTCAGAAAGCCTCAGGGTGCCCTCTCCCAAACGATGGGTGCCCAAACTCATATCTAGATTGACCCCCTCCCTGACTTGTTCATCATCTTGTGTCCCCAGAACTGCCAGCCTAGCCTCAATCTTCCCCAGATCAGAGCTGAATCCTCCTTGCAGTTAATGTTAAAGCAATGGGAATTGTCTTGACCTCCTCACCCAGCTTGGCAGAGCTGTCTAGGGAGTGTAGAGAGGCCAGAGCAAAAGAGGAGGAGGATGGAGAGCTTGAATAACCACCGGCCAGCAGGGACAGCCCCCTCTCTGATATGAGAGGCACTAAGAGCAGTCTAGAAGGTAGGCAGCTCATGGGAGGACTTCATGGGAGTCACTGCTTGGAAGGGAACATAAAGAACATAAAGGGTTGGAGTCCCCCGGGGACAACCTTGGCTCCCTTCCTCTTACTTCAAGAGAGGCATTCAGAAGATGCCCACAGGAGCCCTGACTATAAGCCAGGGCCAACCCTGCGGAAATTAAGATCTCGAGGCTCCTGACCCACCCTTCATTTCCTGTACCCTTTATTTAAGGAGTTAGCTGAGCAGGATCCTCCCCCCAAGTCCACCCCATAACCCATAGTTGGTCCTTGGTGTGACCTAACCCATCCGAACTCAGGGTGGCTCTCCAAGCCTATTGGCTGAAAGAGCCAGTGGTATGGAGTTGCCAGAGCCCCATTTGGTCAACAAGGGAGCAGCTGACCACATCCTCGAATCCTCCTCTGGTGACCTGTGGCATAGACCACTAAGAATCTCTCTCTCTCTCTCTCTCTCTCTCTCTCTCTCTCTCTCTCTCTCTCTCTCTCTCTCTCTCTCTCTCTCTCTCTCTCTCTCCCTCCCTCCCTCTCTCCCTTCCTCCCTCCCTCCCTTCCTTTCTTCCCAAACAAGGTCACATTATGTATCCCTGCCCGGGTTTGAAAGTGTACACCATCATGATTCCAGGAAATACCCTGAGATACTCAAAGGCCTCAGCTACAGAGGGCCCAGGACATAGCCTGGCTGTGGAGCAAAACTTCATCTCTCTGCTCGTTCAAACACACCTCACAGGATCCCGGGTCAAACGAGACATGAGGATAATGTCTCCCAGTCTGTCTGACAAGTGGGACAGGCCCACTGGAGAGGTCCCTGACTCTGTGTACTTACTTACCTGAACCAAAACCAGAACCACCAACAACTTGGAGAACTT